CCCCGGGGAGGCGGGCGGAGTGGCTGAGCCTCCGGAGTGGGCGCCTCGGGAAGCAGCTGCCGCCGAGCGGTCGCCGCGGTCCCGCCGGTGCGAGCGAGGGAGCGAGCGAACCAACCGGAGCGTGCGGCTTCCTCTCTGCCCGCAGGTCCCCAGCAGCATGGCGACGGCGGCGGCCCCCGCAGCGGAGGCAGAGGACGGCCCAACGCAGCCCGCGTCCGAGAAGGAGCCCGAAATGCCGGGCCCCAGGGACGAGAGTGAGGAGGAGGAGGAGGAAGAAGAAGAGGAGGACGACGAGGAGGAAGAGAAAGGTGGGCAGGGACGCGCATCCCTCACGGGTGGAATTTTCACATCAAAAGTTTTTTTCTTCCCCCTCCCTTGGGAAGCGGTGCTCTGGCTTTTTGGCGCTCGGAGGCAGCAGGTCGGAGTGGTTGGTTTCAGGCGAATGATGTCGTGTACGTTTGCCAACCATCAGTGGCAGAGAATATTGGGATTTTTCTTGTTTCTTATTTCGCTTTGAGCGTTTGCCAGGGTTGCGATGGCGAGTGTAGCTGAGTTTTCGCGCTGTGCCATCTGAACACTTGGTCACCTGGCAGGAAGTTTGTAAGGCTGAGATCTGTCTTCCACGCCTCTGCTGTGTGGGGCGCGAGTGTTGCATTGTGCTAATCTCAGTCTGCAGCGTTGGCCTTTTGAAGTTCCCTGAGTTCCGCGCTGTAACCTAACACCACAGGTATGCTAGCTCATCCTGGAAATGGCTCCGTGTTTCCAGCCCTCGGGGGCTGCCGATTTTGGAGGGAGGGTTCTCGTGGGCGCGTTCTTCTTTGCCTAGGAATCACCCGTGAAAGCTGCTGCTGTTGGAGAAAGTGGTTTCAGACCGAAATAAAAACTGAACTGAAAGTTAGACCGTGAACCCACAGCGGTCTCGGTTTTGGAGCTAATCCTGTTCAGAGATCGGTGGTGATGACCAGCGCTGTGTGAGCAGAGGCTGAACGGGGCAGCACGCTTAGAGACGCGCAGGAGGATTGTCAGGTGCCCGGGATGCTTATTGCTGTCCCTCCGCGGGTACATGAGTTTTCCCAAGACATTCTCATATTAAAACACCCCAGATACCGCTCTTCACATATTCCGGTGCTGGTCGGGTCCAGCTTGACTGCGAATGGCCAGAGCAGGTCTCAGGGTTCAAGCGCTCGTCCCAAGCTGTCCTTTCTTTTTGTAAATGTCATATGGGCTAGGGGAACAAGGTATACTTTTTATTTGAAATGGTATGTGCCCTAAGACCTTATGGGAGTGTGTCATTTAAGTACAGCACTTGCTTTAATTATAAATCTTAATACGAATTGTTTAAATTACCTTGAGACTACTTGCAATCTAATAATTGAAAGTTGGCTGCCTTGTCAGAATTGTTAAGACTTTCTTAGCACTTGGACCTCTGATATTTTACTATTTTTTTTTTTTTTTTTGTCTTCCTAGGGGGCCAAAGTTGGTATTAGAGGTAGTGAGTTTCCTTGGGCAGAAAGAAATTGAGAAGTTATGTAAATACACTGTAAAAGGCCAAAACATGTTTTTGAGGCTAAAAATAACTCACAGAATCCTGGATTTTGTTGAGTATAAGTCAGTTATTTTTAAAAACTTTCTTTGTAGGTTTAGTCCTTAATAGTTTCAAAACTAATTCATTATAACACATTTTTTCTCTTGAGGTGCTTGAGATGCTGGAATTGTCAGTTTTTAATTCTACTTAGCCCAGACTATACCTTCAGTATAATGATAGAAAGGTCCACGCCGATGAAGTTACTGAAGTCTGGGAAGTAAGCATTGTTAGCAAGACCGTGTGGAAGATGAGACAGACTGCACTGGAGCAGTGACTGTCAGCTTTTGTCTATAGGGTTGGGTGTTATTCTCCAGAAAACAAATACAGACGGGAACAAGCTTGCTTGGAGAAGATTATAAGGTCTCAGATGTGTTGTTTGGGTTCCTGTAGGACATAGAGGAGTTGTTCAGGTTACAGCCAGCCTACATTAATTTGAAAACTCTACTCCAGGGTTGGACTAAGTAATTGTTAGTTTGTAGATCCTGATTCAAAGCAAGTGAATGGCATAAGTTACCATTATATAGCCCCAAATCTGAACTATTTTGTAAAACCTACACTTATGTTTTGATCCTTTTTCCTCCCTGACCACAAAATAATCCCTATTCAACTCACAAAACTTTTTGGGGATATTATTTATTCTTTATTAATTAATTAATTATTTTGTTGACTGGGTTTTAATCAATAAGTAGTTTTTGATAAATATAACCATATTTTAAGCTTTATATATTAGATATTTCCTGGGTTTTTCTCAGAAGTCTGGACTAAGCAGTAGTTAACTTTGTTAGAGTGACTTACAGCTGTCATGAATATAATTATCATACTACAAAACAGGTACCAAAGTATAGTCGGATAGGGAAATATGCGCTAGCGCTTAAAACACAGTAGTATGGCTGCTTAGCTTAAAATATATGTTTGTATGAAAAACTAGAAGAGTTCAAAGCCCCACAAACAATGAAATAATGAGATTAAAATACTAATCTTCTTGCTTAGTCCATGTTAAATAAATTTCTCTTGTGTATCAAAAAGGTTAGTGAGGAACTAAGTAATTTTTTTTTTTCAAGAGTCCAGTGACTAGATTTTAATGTAATTGGATAAGAATTTTTGTTATTTTAGACTGGGTGCTTGACAAACTTAAGTAATTAAAATCTTCCACAGTGTTTCATGTCATTTGCTTCTTAAGACATGCTTAGTGGGAAAGTATGGTATTGGGTTTGGGAGCTCTTTTTCCCCACCTGTTTATAAAGCTGACACGTTATTTTAGCTTTTTGTTATTTAAGAATTTAAAAGTTATTCATTTAATTCCTAGAAAAGAGTCTCATTGTGGAGGGCAAGAGAGAAAAGAAGAAAGTAGAAAGATTGACAATGCAGGTGTCTTCCTTACAAAGAGAGCCATTTACAATTGCACAAGGTAAGTTTATTCTATATTTCTTTTATAATGAAAATGCCCAATTAGGCAGGAAAGTGATTAGCAAATACTTGGTAATAGCATTCTTTGTGTTTAGGAAGTAGTGGTCTATTTTGGGATAATTTTAATTTTCCCAAAATTAAACATTAATTTCCATGAATTAAACTTCTATTAACATAAAGTTATACAAACTATGTTGTAGTTATAATTTTCATTAAGGTAACTAAATATTAATGAGGCCTAGGTACTTAATTATGATTTTTTTTTTCCAGGGAAGGGTCAGAAACTTTGTGAAATTGAAAGGATACATTTCTTTCTGAGTAAGAAAAAAACTGATGAACTTAGAAATCTACACAAACTGCTTTACAACAGACCAGGCACAGTAAGACGTTTGAACATTTTCCCTATGTTTTTGATACTTAATATGTTAAGATGCTTCACTATAGAGCCATAATTTTAATCCTGTAAGACTTTAATGGTCAGATACCAGTGAGTAAATTCAGACACGGACTTTTTGTAGTATGAGTAGCTTGTTATCTTTTCCTTTTATTTTATTTTAATTTATTTTTTTGTTTTTGTTTGTTTTGGGTGGGTGGGGTTTCCAGGCAGGGTTTCTCTGTAGCTTTGGAACCTATCCTGGAACTAGCTCTTGTAGACCAGGCTGACCTTGAGAACTCAGATCTGCCTGCCTGTCTGTCCAGTGTGGGGATTAAAAGTGTGCATCACCGCCTAGCAAGTAGCTGGTTATTAACAAGACAGTACCTAGGGCTTTCTCTTGTTTTTCATCCCAACCTGGGATAGATGAGTAGTTCAGAGATAGATTGCTTATCTGCCATGCCCAAGGCCCTAAGTTGGGTTTCTAACACCATAACCACAAGAACAAAAATGTTCCAAACTGAAAATCTAAATTATATAATACAATCTGTTGTGATTTTAGTGATTTTTTTTAAAAAACTGTATTAGAATAAATTTGGTTTTCAGTGTTTTGACTACTCATAATAAATACTCCCTTGTAATTGTAATACTCATAAAAGTGGGTGAAAGTTGTTTGCCAAATGATATGTTAATTGCTCTACATATCACTACTTGAAAAGAAAGGGATTGTTTTATTTGTATGTGTGTTTTCCCTAGTGCCTGTCTGTTGTGTGCTTGCTGCTACCTGAGGGGGTATTAGGATTCCCTGGACTGAAGTTCCAGATTGTTGTGAACCAGCCACCATATAGGTGCTGGGAATGGAACCTGGGTCCTCTGGAGGAACAGCCAGTGGTCTTAACAAGTGAACCATTTCTTCAGCCCATGACACTGACTGTATTTGAAATAAGAAGCTTTGCTTTGAGTTGTGTAAAACAAGTTAGATGTTATTAAGGCTGTCTGAAGCACGGTCTAGTTTATTTTAACATGTGCTAACCTCAGTTTGCACAATAATCTAATTTACACATGTTCCATAACTAGTGAATGGAATTAACTTTTTGGAGTACTTAAAATTATTTGCTTTTTTAAAAGTACTCATTGACTAGTAACTTTCTACCCCTACATAAGAAACAATTCTGGTAACTTGCTAGGTGAAAATACGTTCAGATTCAAACTTTTCAAAGAATTAATTCAGTTTGTAGAATTTTTGTAATGTTAATATGTCAGTAGCACATACTTTTCAGTTTTGTTTAGTAAATTAACTTGGGTGATGGCTTTGAAAATAAAGACACTATCTTTGAATTTTTTTATTTGTACATTACTGAATAGTAGCATTAACAATATCAAAAATATTTTCAGGTGTCCTCATTAAAGAAGAATGTGGGTCAGTTTAGTGGCTTTCCATTTGAAAAAGGCAGTACCCAGTATAAAAAGAAGGAAGAAATGCTGAAAAAGTAAGTTATTTTTATAAATATTGTTAATGGTTGATAATGCTATAAGCTTATCTTTAATATTTAAAAATGAATGACTACTCATTTTTAGTAGATTGCTAATTTTAAGTTAGTACTTGACAAGTCTTTCATAGCATCACCTTGGGTTATCTGTTATGTTCCAGTAAATAATGACTTAAAATTATTGAAAACCCTTAAAACTTCATTTTCCAGAAGATACAGGTAATCTGAGAGTTCAAAGCTCATACAGTCTGAAGAAAATGTAATGAAATGTATTTCTGTTCCCTGCTGTTACTATTTCTTCTTAAGTGTTTTAAACTTGCCTTGAACATTTGTTCTCATCTTTGATGAGAAATTGTCATTTTCCATAATGCTAGCAAAATGACAAACCTTAGAACTTTTGTTTACTAAATGCCTGTAGATAGAGAATTTAAATAAAAATTAGGTCTTCATTGAGACAGTGTAATGCTGAATTACTAATTTAAACAATTTTCAAGTCCATTAATTTTGTAGTATTGGAAATTTAGGTAATTTTCCAGTGAATTTACTTCAATTGTTGGTAAATACTCATTTTCTAATGGTTGTACACTGTGGTCAGGTAATTAATAAGAGTAACCTACAGGGAAATACTTATAACTGCTATGGAAACAAAGCAGACCAATTTTTCTGGCTCTATATCATGAAGATTATTTATGAACTCATGTGTAGTTAGTTACCCTTTTCCCTGCTTTCTGTTTCAGGTTTAGAAATGCCATGCTAAAGAGCATCTGTGAGGTTCTTGACTTAGAGAGATCAGGCGTGAACAGCAAACTAGTGAAGAGGATCTTGAATTTCTTAATGCATCCAAAGCCTTCTGGCAAAGTAAGGATCTGTTTTTTACCATCTCAGTAAAATGGTTATTAACAGCCTTTCCTTTCTCTTACTGGAATGGTAATTTAGCCACAGAATTGTGTTGATAATTAGTGATGTCATCTGCATTTAAAATATATGCCTTTCATGGACAGAACTGTAATATTTTCATAATATAAAATAGCATATTTTCCTTCAAATCGGGTGTGAGTAGTACAAGATTAAGAAAAGTAGTCTGGTGGTGGCAGCACACAGCTTTGATCCCAGTGCTTAGGAGGCGGAGGCAGGCGGAACTCCAGGAGGTCCAGTCCAGCTAGGGCTGTTACACAGAGAAGAACCCCAGTCTTGAAAAATCCAGAAAGAAAAGTGGTGATGCACATCTTTGATCCCACTTTAGTCCTAGCAGCGGGTCTCTAGTTAGTGGCCAGCCTGGTCTACAGAGCAAGTTCCGGTGTCCTAAGGCTACCCAGAGAAACCCTGCTTCAAAAAAACAAACAAATAAAAAGATAAAAGTACCTACATGTCACAAAGATATTTCTTTGTGTTTTCTGTCTGGAAGGCATTGGAATAAGGGGAATACATTGAGGAAATGGTTATGTGGGACTGATACACAGTTTTTAAGTTTTAGAATTTAGCAACTACTCCTAAGAAAGCATTGAAAAATAAATTTAAATTCATTGACTTATCAAATAATTTTTCTCGTGTGATTAGAAATGGATACGGTTTAACTGAAGGTATATATCACACTTTAACCTATTTCATGCCTGTTATTACTTTCATAATTAACTTATTCAACATTTATTCCATACTGAAAGATGTTGCTGAGAACTTGGCATTGCTGAAAGAGGTAGTATAAATTGAGGATATATGATTGCTAATTAAGTTTTATTTTCTCTGCATAGTTGTTGCCATTCCTTTGATTAATTAAAGCAAGAAGCTCCTAGAAATGGTATCTTTATTGCTTGTAAAAGTGAATTACATTAAGTCTGGTGTCAATTATTGTCTTGATCAAATGTAGACACTACCTGAACTCATTACAGTGCATACTTTAGTCCTTTCAGAACCAACCATACCTTCTGCAGATGGTTATGCCAGATGTTT